AATCTTTATATATATTTATGTGTGTGTTTGTGGGGGCAGGGGGGGGGGGGGAGAAGTTTATATAAGAGCAAGGCTCCTAAGGCACACCTCAAATATTCATTAAAAATGTTATTTTGATGCTGAAAAACCCTCAATTCGATCATCTCAACATCAAGATATATGGACATAAGAAAAAATAATTTTCAAATTTTGAAAATAGTGCATATTGCAATATCCTATCTAGACCGTCAATTTTTAAGATATTCAAGTGTTCATAAATCTGCTCGATCAACACTATTTTTTAGCTTTAGTTTTATTATTGGAGATGAAAATAAATTTTTAGGCCATCATAATGATTTCTAATATTAAAACAACATATTTCGACATTATTTAAAGGTGCGCCCTATTTTGTTTGTTTAGAACCTCGGCATTATACAAACCACACCTAATATATATATATATATATATATGCAGCCACTACGCAATGCCTATAGGCAAAAATGAACAATGTTTTCACCCATAGCATCGGCGCAGTTGAAGGTGGAGCGCTCCCGTATGTTGATAATTTTTTAGATCTAATGGATCTGATTCTGATTCCCATCAAAATAAATTAGTTAAATTAGTTTTAATTAATTTTATGATATATGATTTTTAGAATATTTATTTGAATTTTTGTGAATCTTTTGATATTTTATTTTTGTCATTTAGATTTATAAATTAAGATAAATTAATTTTCTAATGTTTTAAATAAAATATAAGATTTAAAATTTTTAAATACAAAATAAAATATTTTCTAAAATTATATGGACCTTTCGTAAATATGGGCTCAACTCTCTTTCACTTCTCGATGGGACGTTCAAGCTAAGGTTAGTTGTGGTGGTTTGATTTTTGGGTAGCAAAGGGATGATCGCTTGCTAGTTGATCATTTGCTAATCGGTGTGGGGTCTACTAAGCGTGGTTGAGGTAATATCTCACAATTTTACTTCTTTAAATCTTTATTTGTGATTTGATATTCTCTTCCCATAAAGCAATGAGTTAATATTTTGATTTAAAGAATTGTACTCAACAGTGTTAACAAGTGAGAACCGTGTTTATTTTCTTTTATTTATTTGTTTCAAGAGTTATTTATTTGTAATTGGATATTATGAGTGTTCTTGCTGGTATGAAAATAAGAAAAATTTTAATTTATATACACCGTCCAACTTTCAATAACATGTCATTAAGAGCAAGAGAAGTTATTTGCCAAAAAAAAAAAAAATGCTAAACTCATAGGGGAAAAGTTTTAGTGGTCCCAAGGGGACCAAAGTGCACATTGGAACCCACTGCAAACCCACCATGTTTGATGGTCCGTTTGAATTTACTAAAAAAAAAAAATGGTCTGATTGACCTCAAAGATGAAATCATTTTTATTCTTCTGTTTATTGTTTTGTTTAAAACGATACGGATTTTAGAAATTGTTTAAACCACTTCCAAATGCGATATGGACTTTGGACCCTCCACTGTGGTAGGATCTTTAAATAGTTTCAAAAACTCTAATGAAAAATCCAAAAGATAAGAAATTTGTTTGTAATATATTTTTTTATGTTTTTTATCATTTTGGCAGAAATTAGGGAGTGTTTTGGCCATGAATAATAAATTTGTACATTTTTCCCTTCTTTGATTATTTCTAAAAAAAAAAACCGGGCCACAAATTTATTTTTCAAAATCAATCTTTTTCACTATTGTTTTAACTTCATTTAGATACGATAATCTAAAAAAGAAAAAAAAACAAAAATATATTCAATATAAAAATAGGTACGGAATCGTTTTCTAGATAATAACCCTATTTTTTAGTATTTCTCCCTACTTGTATTTATTTTAATAGAGAGACGAACATGACCATTATCACCATAACATCTAATAATAATAGTTTTATCACTGTGCTAAATGAATAGAAGATAACATATAATCCAACCACATTTCTAATTGAAGCAGAATCCCTCTCTCATTATTTCAACTTTTATTTAGTTCTCTCTCCTCTTTTATCCTTTAACTGTTTCAACTTTATTGTTCTTTTGAGACCTTATTGAAGCTTATAATTCTCTCTCTTGTTTTTCTATTTATCTCTTTCTGTCTTGCAGTCGCCCTGTTTTTCTCTTTATTAACTCTTCTCCCCAACCAGTCTCCGTCGCTTCGACCAATATAAGATTAAAATTCATTCTCACATGTTACCCATCCCGCGAAAATATTAGCCACCTACTTATTAAACTCATCATTAAACAAAAAGTTACGAAAGAGATGAGTTAAATGACAGATGGCCATAATATTTTGATTCCAGGTCGTTTTTTTAGCAATGAAAAAAAGAAGATGATTAATGATTTCGACTGTTCAAAACATGGCAACAACCGTAAAAGACGTCATCTCTCTTGTCCAAAGGCAAGCCAGCAGCATCATGTTTGGTGCAGCTGAGGCAGTCCGTGCTAATTTCAGTGAGCCCCAAGAATTACGTTTCACTAATTTGTTCATGGTGAATGATGAAGCCGGAGACTTAAAATCGGAGATTTTGGGGAGCTTCGCATCTCAAATTCAAAATAAGCTCAAGATTCAAAATAAGCTCGAGAATTCTCTTCGAGTACAAGCCTCTTTGGTGGAGTGCTTTGAGTTAGTAGAAGCAATTGAGACAAAAGAAGATGTATGGGAAATGCCTTGTTTGCATCAATATCATGAAGACTGGATGTGCAAGTGGCTCGAGTGCAATAAATCGTGAGCAATTTACCGACTTGCGCTCAAAGTAACTTTATGCATAAACAAGATGAAGATATCAATTGTTTTATTTTTACAAAATTCCTAGTATGTAGATGAATACTCTCGTAATATAAGATTGAATGCTCTACATTTTTTAATATAAGATTGAGTGATCTACATTTTTTTCTTGTTTTATTTAGTACAGATACTCCTTTTTATGAACCATTGGTTTGGGAACCAATTTCATCTACGTTCGATGCAAAAGTGTGAATTTTGTGGCAATCTTGGATAAGTTTGCTCTCGTGGTCGATTGGATCAAACTATTATGAGTGACTTAGGTATGGATTCTTAAATTTCTCCGAAATCCTCCATTTATAGATAGAAATTACAAAGGAAGTCGGTCAACCTAGTTTTTTTATTTTTTCAAAAGTTCCCCTTAATCTGAGGACATCCTCTGACAAATTTTTTTTTATTTTTTTAGTTTTTTCATTAGTCGGACACTACTCTAAAGCTTGGGAAACTGCCCTAGTAACAAAAAAATTGGATTTTTTTATTTTTGAAATTAGGATCGAGGATTCCATCCTCAGACTGAAGGCTGATTTTGAAAAAAATAAAATAAAAATGTAAGTTGAACGATCTTCTTCATAATTTATGCGTATAAGTGGAGCTTTTTGTATTTTAGAATAAATTTTATGATCTGTGTGTAAATCATTAAATTATTATTCTTATTTAGCAAAGAACATTTTGACAATCGCATACTTCTTGGAGAAATATTTTATGGAAGAACCCTAGTAATATCAAATAAAAGAACGCATGATTAAGATCAGCTGAAGTTGCTTAAAATCATGGGGGAATGTTCTAATGGTCCTGGTGCTCTTACAAAAAAAAAAAAAAAAAAAAAAAGAATAGAGAGAGAGAGAAAGAAAACGGTCCTGAGAGGAACCAATTTGTACATTGGAACATACAACAAAACCACCATGTTAGATGGTGAGTTTCACCTCAAAGCTGAAATCATTTTTATTCATCAGATTGTTTTGGTTTTAAAATAATACGGATTTTATAAATTGTTTAAACGAGTTCCATATGTGATATTGACTTTGGACCTTCCATCTAATATGTCTGATCAATTATGGGGTTGAAGAGCTCAAAATTAGTTTTTTTTTTTTTTTCCTTTTCTCTAAATTGATCACAAGGTGAATTAGAGATAATTCAAAAATTCTATTTAATAAAAAATTTCTTACACCCCCTACCCCCCCAAAAAAAAAAAAAAAAGGGAAAAATCTTATATAAGGTTTCAACCTTTAAGCGTAGAATTACAAATGCACCTTAAAAATCTATCGGAAAGGTTGTTTGAATATTGAAAAACCCTATAATTGATCATCTCGACATCCAGATGTATAAATATGAAAAAAAAAAAAAAGCTTTTGAGTCCTATAAATAGTCCATCTTGAAGCACATTATCTAGACAATCAATTTTCAAGATTTTTACATGCTTATTGGTCTACTTGATTTTAACCATTTTTGAAGTGTACAATTTTTTAATTTGAAATGAAAATAGATTTAATATTATCCTAAAGAATTTTTTACAACAAAATTACATGTTAAGATAAAATTTGGAGGTGGGCCTTAATTGGATTGTTTAAGGTTGTAACGTTACATAAACCACACCCAAAGATAGGAAGCTTGAATGCAGACCGAATGTCCATTTTGGTCCTGGGTGGCCACTACGTGGAAATATTAAGAATTACTCGTGCTCAACCTGTCCATGGTAAAGGCCCAACCAATCATGTTATATACAATGTTTTAGCTTTTCGCTTTTTAAACTCATACAAATTATTTTTCATATAAGAAAAATTCTATAATTACAAAATTGAGAAAAGTAGCATCACTTTCATTAATTTTATACAAAAAAAGAAATTTAAGATAATTAAGAGAAATTTAAGAATTCACTAAAAATAGCACTTTCGTATGAGGATTTAGACTAAAAATATATACTTAGAAAATCTAAAAATTAAGGAAGTATTACATTATCTTTTAAAAATATAGCAACAAGAAAATTAGTCCAACAGAAGCCAAAAATATTCTACTCATTTGGGGGTAAACGGTCCATTTACTCCCCTAATAAAACCCCACCTAGGATTAATTTTAGGACCTCAATTTTTGGAAATATACCTCTTTAACACATAGATTAACATCACTAAAAAAATTTTCCTAATTGCATCCTCTAAACATATATATAAAAAAATGTCTTAAGATCGAATAGAAACCGTCCAATTTTTGAAAATATTACACTGATTGTGACTTCTATGTGTAAAAAATAAATGGTCTCTTTGTAGACAATCCCACATTAAAAAAATAAATTTTATTTAAAATAAGCATATGACATTTTTAAAATGGACCCAAATATTTCAAAAGAACGAGAAAAAAATATTTTGCGTGAGAGAACAAGTGTATTGTGCTCTTCTAACAAAACTAAAAGAGAAAACATTTAAATATTTAAAGGGCAAGCTTTCTATGCGTTCCTACAACATAAAACTTCTATACTTCCCCTTATCTAACCATCTATTCTAAATGGAGAGCTAAGAGTGCCCCCTTTTGTATTTTTAATTTTTAATAAAATATTTTGGTACCAACTTTTGGGTGTCCAATCCTCTATTTTGCTTGCACTGGTAAAAAATATTCCCAATAAAATACAATGACTAAAATACCCTTGAAATTTTCAAGGGGTATTTTGGTCATTATATTTTATCAAAAAATTATTTTTTAATATTTTTTGTAGGTGCACCCCAAAGAGAAGATGGCACTACCAAATTTTATATTCATACAATTTGTATAAAAAAATTAAGAATAAAATACTATGAAGCATCGGATATAAGATCTGAGTGGCTCACTTGATCAAAATTGGACAGTTGGATGGTAGGGGAAGCACAAATCTTCTACGTTGTAGGAGAAGTATAGAAACCTCTCCCATCCATAAGAGGAGAGAAAACAGTTTAAATACAAACTCGCCACTCTAGGAAAGAAATAAGAGTATTTTTAGCTTGGGGAATTGTGTGGACTTCTTTTGATCTCAAATTCTGTAGATTGCTTCGTTTTCAAGAAATAAAATTTTTTTAAGGATAATTAAAATGAATTATGAGTTCTTGAAGGCCTTAATCCAACAACTCGAACTAGAAGGCCTTTGCTTAATGAGTTCGATAAAAAGATTTTTATGGGGCTTTCCCAAATTTTGTTTAATAGGCCTCTTTGTAGGGTCCAAAAGAATTTTTGCACCAAATTTGGGATTTATTATTCTATTTCTTCTTTTACATCTATTACATGGATTTTAGATAAAGAATAGAAAACTTTTAGAACAATTACAATCACTCTTATCCATCAAATTTCAAATCATGTATTTGTATGTCATTAACTAGACTCAGAGTTCAAAGAAAACTTTATTGAACTTTATACAAGTGTCTAAATTGACATATAATGGTTAGAAGTACCTTGTAATAAAGATAAACGATCTCGTAACATATAATTGCAAAATTTTATTAGTGGGGAAATGACAAAATGGAAATTAAAAAAGAATCCTTTTTTTTATTTTGAAATTGAAGGAACAATCATATATTATGTATTTTACATTAAAAGTGAATGGTCTTTTTGTATACTTTTTCATAAAATAAAGTACAATAATTTAAAAAAAAAAAAAAATTGGGTTTTAAGAGCTCAAAACAATTTATGTTTTTTTATATAGTTGGTCACAAGGTGACTGAAAAATGACTTGAAAATTTCATGGTCATAAAAATCCCTCAAACTAGGCGTCTTGCATGTCGGACCAAATGTTCAATTTGATCCCGCGAAGCCAATCTGTAGGCACAATATGATCTAAAGTCGAGCCAGAGAAAGGCGATCCCCCTTGGGAATGCAGTAGACCAAGAATTATACATTAAAAAAAAAAAAATACATTCATCGTCTTTGCAACCCACAGGCACAAGATCATATTAAAAACAATTTAAACTGATGAAAATTATTTTTAATATATAATAAAATTTATAATTGAAAAATTAAAAAAGTACCGTATTATAAAGATAAAAAAAGTAAGGTAATTGAGAGAAATTTAAGAACTTAGTAAGCCTTAGTTAATAGGACGCTTTTAAGTAAGGATAGAATATTTCCTTAGCCCTATTTTTAATTGAAAAAATAGACAATAAAATATTTTAATAATTAAAAAAGTGTGATAATTGGTTTTAAAAATAAAAATTAAAAGGCTTAGAGTTTAATTTAGTGATACAACTTAAGAAACTTTTTCGAGTCCCAATAAACAAAATTCAAAGGATAAAGTTTGTGTAGGGTGTAGGCTTTATAAAAACTAACTCAAGTCTCACCTCAAATCCTAATTTGAAAAGCACTTTTGGCATCAGAAATCTCCATGGTGGATCTAAATCATAAAATTTGAAACTCAAGAAAGAGTACAAATCTTGTATATCTATAAATACTCAATTTTAGGAT